GAAAGATTCCACGAACAGCCGGGAACTGCGATAATTTTGTACGATAAGTGAGAAATGTATCTCAAATAATCAGAATCAAACTAAATAGATATTATTCTTTTAATTAGATATATAATATATAAAATATATACATAACATTAAAGTATATATTATTCATATATGATAACATTCTAAATTAATTATTACAAGTTGTGGTGTAATATATAATTATATAATTTTGAATAGTTACAGCAAATTGATGTGACATAAACCGCAGTAAAGTATGAGAACGTAATTGAATAAAGCTGATTAGTTCGATTCGGTTTGCAAATCTTGTGGGAAGTCGACGTCGCTTGATAGACAATTGACCGCCGGTGAGAGTCCGTTCGCAGTTGACCGATCTGTATCTCGGTAATGACATTATACATTACACAAGCTTTTGTCCCAATAGGGCCTGATAGTTCGCACGGGTGGATTCAAATAGTCACTAGCCGGTGCATAGATCGCTTTGACACATTAAAGCGTATCGGACTGAATCGATGTTTCATGCATGAAGCTGTTACTGGTTCTATGGCGAAAGCTGGTAGCAACGTGCGTTTACATCGATCTTTGACGAAAAGGGCTGCGATCGTATCGAGTACGTCGTTAAGTTAAATTAACGACTGTTAGGAGAAGGCAATATTATGACAAACGGCTCGCATATAATGTGGAATTGTAATAAAAATGTAATAAAAATTGAGCCTGTGTAAAAATAATATTAGTTGAGGATTACCTCTTCATTATTACAATATCATTTCACTCAAAGATTAATCTCGCGACACTAATGATGTGTTACGCAAAAGAGTCGATCGCCGACAAAATCTCACGTGGATTCTCGCTGATTTCGTTAGAATATGGTTATCATAAATATTAGACGAATTGGCGAAATCTCTCGTCGCGAAAGTGGCTCGCTTTAAAACACGGAATGATACGGTTACAGGCAAAGCCCAGATGCTGCTTTCCCTCGCTGTTTGCCATTATGGTTGGTCGCGATGGGAAGGTTGGAATACGCCGCGATTACAACACATTCATATTATGTGAATTATATATTAATTAGTTTATACATATACACACACACGTACACGCAATCAACGACAACTGCATCTCATGACTGCGTAATGTGACGCATTTATTATAGACGGCGCGTAGAAATTATGCATGTGCACTGAAGGTTTAATATCGCAGTTTGTCAAGTTTTTTTATGTCGTTTCATACAGATTGAATCACGAGTTTAAATAAATTTTTTGACAAGAGCGTTGATGTGTTTAAAACGCAATATACACTATACACACACATGCGAACGAATACACGTACCGAGTCGGTAGCTAAAATTTGTGCACGTCACATCGCGAAATAGAGAAATAAACGTCGGGTTATGTAAATATCAAATCATACGACAAGCGGTAATGCGTTGATTGTGCGAGAGCAGAATCAATATTATTTCGGAACGTAGAGGATATAATGTATAAAATTATATATAGAATTATATATATAAGAATATATAATGCGGTAATATAAAACTTTTTATACATTTAATCATCAAACAGCGCGGCAAAAAAATAGAACGGCAGAAAAATATAATGGAAGTAACCGACATGTTTCGAGAGTGCATATATTTATACGAAGAGACGTTATATATAATTTATAGAGAATTTTAAAATTGCTAATATAAACATCATTTTGAGCGCAATATCCACACACACTGTGTGTGTGTGTGTAAATCGGACGCGCAAGTGCGTCAACTGCATCGACTGCGGTATGCCGCGAGTAGAGTCAATATTATTCTGTTATATATAGAAACTACCTGTGTGAATTTAAACGCGTGTATACCGAAGTTTCCCGAAAATTCATTCATTATAAAATGATTTTCATTTCGCTTATTTGGAATTCCCCGCCAAGTTTACGGTTACGTTCACGCTAATAATGATTATCCGGTGGACTTCTCCGGCGTCGAGAATGCACTCAATTCCATTTATATCAAATCGTCTATGATGGTATCGAGGCACACTTTGGGAACAACAGACGCCATCGAGAGCGCCATTTAATCTTCTCTCTCACTATGACGCGCGGTTAGGTAAACGCAATATTTTAACGTGCAATTTCTTGGTCCCGTCTCGCATGGTAAATTGCTCGACGCGTTTATGAGCGTCGAAAGCTGGCGGTTGCGTTTTCGCTATTGCAACCGCGGACGCGCCGAAAATAAATTTGCGTCGCCTCTCTGTCCGTTCCGCGTCTGACGAACAACAATAGTTTTTCCCCCACACGGTATTGTCTTTCGGGGATCCGTAATAATAACGTCTGACGATTTTGTCAACGCGGTTTGTCGCCTTGCACGGACGCATATATCTCGCGAAGACGCGTGTGTCACATCGGCATGTGACCCGCGTTAAATTTGGAAGAGGCTCTGCACTTCTGGGCCGCAGTTGTCGCCATTTCTCGACATGCGCTACGCAAACCGATTGTGATGTCGCACTCTTCCAAATGTCACGAGAGAAACATCGGCGAGACGGATTCGCGAATGGATCAGGACGCAAAGCAGATTCTCCGATTAGTTGATGGATATATTATATCGATAGTTGAGTCGTGAACATTGACAGAAAAGTGACATATTTTTTTTTCTTTTTTTCTTTTTTTCTTTTTTAAATAAAAAGTAATGTGCGTATAAGAGGACTTTTTCTGAAAAATTTTATCAATCAGATCGATTCGATATATAAGAACGAATGTTCTATGTATTTTATTTAAATTGCGTCTACTATCACGTCCGATCTATTTGCGATAATTCTATAACTGCATCGTTCTTGTTGGTCTATTAAATTAAATTTACCTTCTATTTGGAGGTTGGTGAATAAAATTAGTAAGGAATGGACAATGGGAGAGAGAGAAAGCGTATCTACAGAAGCGATAAAGCACCTGGAATAGTTGCCAGCGTTACTAAAGATAGGATAAGAGAAGCATTACATTTCTCCGCGGAGCACATTGTGTTATCCGCCGCCATCTCGACGGAATCGAATATATATGATTTAATGTTCTCTTTATGTGACACGCTTCGAAATTCTGTCGCGAACTTTAAGAGGCGAGAGGAGATATGTATGTGTGTGTGTGTATGTATGTATGTATGTATGTATGTATGTGCGACAAAGATACTTTGAAAGTGGCGAACCCGAAATGTTAGAGCGGAAATGTGATTTACGAGACGGAAGCGATTTATTGCCTCTCGTTGTGAGGTTGCATAATATCGTGTCGGCCAATTGGAAGATAGAAGTTACTTATTCTGGCTTTCAAATGTACATAGTACATTTTGGCCCACGTGAATTATTTGTCTTAACGAGAAACTCGTGGACGAAAAGGGGAGAAGAAAATATGTCTGAATAAAAGTGTAAAGGGCATGTGCTTCAGGATAAGTATACAAGCCTCGATTATTCATTTTCCACAGTGATCCACTTTCCGCTTTAAAGGGAAAGGACGATAAATACATATACATAACTTTTGATAGAGCAGTGCTGAAACATTAGAATAGTGCGTGACTAACATCGTGTTTTTGTTAATGTTATGCACGTGATGTAATGGACGACTCGACGAGGCGGCTTTAGAGACGTTGTGTTTTATTAATTAAATTATGTATATTATACATAATTAAATTAAATTAATTAATATGCCTCCTAAAAAAGTACTACTGTGTATATATATTTTCAAAGAATAAACTCGTCTCGTTCAGCTATGAAATGCCATTGTAAATCTACCCTCGATCTACTTTTATGATTTAGTACTTTTCGTGATTCAGTGCGCGCGCTGCTGTACGTCTCGCGATTCACCCCGTCGTCTTCGATCCACTCCCGAGGAGCGATTCGTCTGAGAATAGAGCCCTAACGATGCATCGATTCGCGATTAGTTTTCGAGTTTCGGAAACCGCCATCCGGGATTTTCTCTCTCTCGCGAAAATCTATAAAGTTTTTACGGACACGTCTTGCTCGCGCCGAATTGAATTCTGTTTGTCGCGTGTTTCATTCGTAGCTATCGCAGACGCCATTATCGCGAACGCGGCACTTCGCAAAGTGACGGAAAAAGATTTCGCAAATTCAATTCTCGAAGCGCCCGAAGGCGTTCTCTTTCTCTCTATGCCGTTCAAGTCCCCTTATTGCTCGAGTGGAAAAAATGCATGTGCATAGGACACGTTCGCGATCGTAGTTTCGCGAAGTGGAAATGCATTAGGTAGATGGGACGCATAATTGGGGCCGTCGCGCGTACTGTCTCTGCCGTATTTCTTTTTTTCCTCATTCCTTTCTCTTTTTTTTTTTTTATTCCTCCTTCTCTTTCTCTCTCGCCTTTGCGGGAACGCCCTTCGCCGCGTTAATTTGTTTACCGTAATGTTAGATAAAAGCGGAACGCCGTGTTCGATTCGCCGCGTCGGCACTTTACGTTATTACCCCTTCGCTTTCGCACGCGTGTGTGAAAATGCCGGCCGGTGCAACTTTTACGATCGATCCGCGAAATAATACTGAATGCAGAAGCGCGAATATCCCGGTGCTTTTAAACGCAGCCGGCAACCGCGAAAAATCGGCAACGGCAGTCAAACACGGCTGGCGGCTCGCGATTATCAAATCGAACGATCGAACACAGCGTTGTTCTCCTCGACGTTACACATCGGTGATCACCCGTCGATTACCTTCTATCCGAGTCGATCGACACCCATATACACTCGTACTTCCCACAAGTAGTATAATACTCTCTACCTGTCGCGCGAATATCACCCGCTACGGTGTACGAATTACGCGCATGTACGAATATACATATATATATATGCGTATATGCGACCACGTTACGTACGTATGTATATGCGAGACGTGGGTGTACGAATTACGCACATGTACGAATATACATATATATATATATATATGCGTATACGCGACCACGTACGTATGTATATGCGAGACGTACAAACGGAACAAAGCCACGTTAAGCTGGTTGCGATTGGTGTGTTGCAGACACGAGGTGCCTGTCACCTCGGAGCCGATCACGGTGATACACATGGACGAGGACGTCGTCGTGGTCAACAAGCCCGCCTCCATCCCTGTAAGTGGTGTACTGCCAGAACTGTACTGCCAGAAAATTGTTTGTGTCGTATTGTCTACCGAATCACACTCACGCATACATCCACATACACACGCACATACGTACCCATTATTCATCCAGATCGCATGCTATCATTTTGCATGAATGACATCCTTCGACAGTCTCCACGCAATCATAACCGCTTGACGTTCGAAGTCAGCTGATTCTCAATTTACTCTTTTGTGATCCCTGAAAGTATCTTTATATATGTACATGACATGTCCTTTTATACTAAAAATTATTCCTAGAGCACGCTCCCGAGATGTTACGAGATCCGTTAAATTTAGAATCCCCGAATTATATTCTTCTGCATTTTAGTGAAGAGACCCTCGTTTCGTCTAATATATATTCGTGTGTTTCCTTAAATTAAATTTCAACCCCGTCGACAATCGGAAGCGCGGACGTTCGCTCCTTCGCGTCGCTAAACGTCGAGCTTCCAATTTCGTTAGCGGTCTCTTCTTTTCCCGCGGACGTAAATCGTCGCTAACGAGTCGTTTTTCTCAGACTACCGGAACAAAACAGCGCGGTTAACGGACGTGCGCCAAGGGCTTTTGACGAGCTCGGCTTTTTAAAATGCAACGTTTCGGTCCTCATCGATCTCTCCTGATACTTCTGGATGTGGAACATTCATCACATTCAGTATCGCGGCGATAGAAAGAAAAGAGGGAGAAAAAAAGGAGAAACACAAAAGAAAGGAAAAATGTACGCGCGGGCGATTCGCATAAACCACCCGAACTCGCGCGAATAAAACGCGCTATTAAAATGTTAATCGCGCGCATTACGCCGCTCGCAAATCACGGATAATTTACTCTCCGCGCTATTATTGCCGTCCGTGATAATGTCGCACTCCCGCGAACGCTGTAAAAACACGTGACTAAAGGACACGTGCACCGGTGGCAATGCAATTCCGGGAGTCCGATGCATTAAACCGTGTATCGGTGATTCATTGGCGTAACTAACGGTTTAAAGGCTTACTCGCCGAAAAAAAAAAATTTCAGAATTTTCTCTTTCGTTTTGCATTTTAGCAACACTTTGATCTCGGTTATTTCCATCCGTGATATAATCGTAATAACGTACGCGCGACAATACACATGTCGCAGTCTCTTTGTAAATTCAATCCTTTCACAAAAAAGCTTATGCTCTCTCTCTCTCTCTTTGAAATATCGACCTGCAAAGAGATTCGGCGCTTTATAAAAATGTTTTTGTGTGAAAGGGTCGATTTTACAAAAAGCCTGCAACATCGCTAAACGTCGAGCTTCCAATTTCGTTAGCGGTCTCTTCTTTTCCCGCGGACGTAAATCGTCGCTAACGAGTCGTTTTTCTCAGACTACCGGAACAAAACAGCGCGGTTAACGGACGTGCGCCAAGGGCTTTTGACGAGCTCGGCTTTTTAAAATGCAACGTTTCGGTCCTCATCGATCTCTCCTGATACTTCTGGATGTGGAACATTCCTCACATTCAGTATCGCGGCGATAGAAAGAAAAGAGGGAGAAAAAAAGAAGAAACACAAAAGAAAGGAAAAATGTACGCGCGGGCGATTCGCATAAACCACCCGAACTCGCGCGAATAAAACGCGCTATTAAAATGTTAATCGCGCGCATTACGCCGCTCGCAAATCACGGATAATTTACTCTCCGCGCTATTATTGCCGTCCGTGATAATGTCGCACTCCCGCGAACGCTGTAAAAACACGTGACTAAAGGACACGTGCACCGGTGGCAATGCAATTCCGGGAGTCCGATGCATTAAACCGTGTATCGGTGATTCATTGGCGTAACTAACGGTTTAAAGGCTTACTCGCCGAAAAAAAAAAATTTCAGAATTTTCTCTTTCGTTTTGCATTTTAGCAACACTTTGATCTCGGTTATTTCCATCCGTGATATAATCGTAATAACGTACGCGCGACAATACACATGTCGCAGTCTCTTTGTAAATTCAATCCTTTCACAAAAAAGCTTATGCTCTCTCTCTCTCTCTTTGAAATATCGACCTGCAAAGAGATTCGGCGCTTTATAAAAATGTTTTTGTGTGAAAGGGTCGATTTTACAAAAAGCCTGCAACATATATATATATATATGTTGGAGAAATAAAACATAAATCTTATCGGAAAAAGAATAGAAACGATAGTCTACAAAATTTTACAGCGCTTTCTTTGTTGTTTCTTTTCATCTTTTTTTCTTCTGTTCGCGTTTCGTTCTCGCGGGACTGTTAGTTATACAACGTTAATGCAGCTATTGCAAGTTCTACTCATCTACGGCAGTCTGGAATTCGCGATAGGTATTGCGAGAGCTACGCACGAACTCGCTACTTTTCCTCTCAAATGTCACCGAATGCACATCGCGTCGGCGGTTGCATTCCCCATCCTTCGGGGCTCGTTAACAAGAGCTTTCGCAACAAAACGCTGGGCTTTAATGCAAAAATAATCCTACGCGCGAATACCCGGTGGATGGTGCAGACGCGATTCTCAACTTAATAGGTCGCTTTTCACTTTGTTTTCTTTTTTCTCGAGTATCTTTTTTTTCCTTTTTCTTTTCTGGTCTGCCAGCGAGTGGTCCCGAGGAGATCTCGGGTCGACTGACGATTGGCCGAATTAATTTTCGCGTACAGACATCGTTAAAGCGTTATGCAATTGGAAAAACAGCAGTATTTCACCGCGTCGCTTTCCTTTTCTTATTCTTTCACCATTTCCCACGTATATTACAGCAATAATAAAATTATTCAGGTTTTCTCACTTCGTGTAAAATTTTTAAATTATTTCAGTAGTATAACATATTACATTATAATTTTATAAATTTGTAATAATAGAGATATATTATATAATATATTGAATAGAAAAAATCTATTCACATTTTTTCTAAATATATATAGAAGTGATAAAGAAATCCAGATTTTGTCTATTCAATATAAAAAATATTAATAAATGAATAAGAGTAATTTTTTTAAACTATCAAAAAAGTAACACATTATACGTGTATCATAGTTTTATAAAATTATAATGTATAGAAGTATTTATATTATAAACAGATATTATTAGTGGATTATTATATTTTGGAATTCAAAACAGTAAAAATATACCGGAAAAATTAGTGAATGTGTATTTATCAGCATTAAAAATTCGAGATTACAAATTATAAGCTAAATTATAAATTCTGTTTTTCTTTTAATCAATTACAAATATAATGTTGCGAATATTAAATTGACTCTCAAAAAATTCATTTTTATCTTGAACCGTATAATGTGTCAAGATTATTCCTAGCTGAGTTCTTCAGCAGAAACGACTACATAAATACGGGCTGATATTCCGAAAATTTACTTTACGTCGGGAGAAAATCGGAAAGTATGGTACTCTTGCGAATGGAGAAAAGTGCTTTCAATCGCCGGATTATCGTAGCGGTTCGCCGAGAGTCGATAGCGAGCATGCACATTATTGTGGATACGTGCCACCGTTTGTACCGGTGTGGATAGAAGAGCGGTCTTATCGAACCAGGAAGAATCCGATACGATCCGCCAGCCAGCCAGCCAACTGATCATTTGTACATACAAATCCACATTGTTGATTCAAGCACATAAAGTGTGCCGTTTCCCAGGCCGTGTTGATTCGAAATCATGCCATGAATCGACTCTCCTTTGTGGGCGCGATCGCTTTTTGTCCCGAATTTGCCAGGAGAAATGGGTCGACCGCGTGGATGTTGTATGCGCGCGTATTTACGTACATCCAATTTACATTGGCCACATGCCGATAGGCACAACTCGTCAAAACAGCGTGCGCTTCGTAAATTTCCCTTCTACACATTTCATTTTCTGAATATTCCTGGTTACACGATATAAAAATTTCATGGTGGAGAGAAGTGTCTTAGATGCCCCGAACTATCCTGAGACAGAATATAATAGAATCTATCATGTCAATCTTCCTCTTCCAGAAGTTTATATTATTATTCTCAGTGCTGCGAATTTCTTGATCGAAAATGCAATAAAATTTGACCGTTTGACCTGTTTTGTGATCGCAGGTGCATCCGTGCGGCCGTTACCGGCACAACACCGTGGTCTTCATCCTGGCGAAGGAGTACAACTTGAAGAATCTCAGAACCATTCACAGGCTGGACCGGCTGACTAGCGGCATTCTCCTGTTCGGTAGAACGCCGAAGAAGGCGAGGCAAATGGAGCACCAAATAAGAAACCGGCAGGTCTGTGTTGCGTAAGCACATAAGAGAAAGACATAGGCGTCGCTCGTTTGTCGTTGAATGAAAAGATGTAACGAACATACATACATGTCGCGTTTTTATGTTTCAGGTTCATAAGCAATATGTGTGCCGAGTGGAGGGCGAGTTTCCGGAAGAAGAAGTAATTTGTTCGGAACCGATCGAGGTAGTCTCCTACAAGATTGGCGTCTGCAAGGTCTCGGAGAAGGGCAAGGACTGCGTCACGCGCTTTAAGCGTCTTAGTTACAACGGCAAGTCGTCCGTGGTTCTGTGCAAGCCGCAAACCGGCCGCATGCATCAGATTCGCGTCCACTTACAGTATCTCGGCTATCCCGTGGTAAACGATCCGCTTTACAACCACGTGGTGTTCGGTCCGCATAAGGGTAAGGGCGGCAACATCGGCAAGACCGACGAGGAGCTCGTCCGTGATCTTATCAGTATTCACAACGCCGAGAATTGGCTTGGCATGGACGGCGATTCCGACATGAGTCTATTCAAGCCGAAACTGGAGCTGGAGGAGCGCGTGTTGGGTACAGGCAACGATAAGGATAACGGCTCGTCGCCGTCGTCCACTCCGGGTCTGGTCGAGGACGGAATCCCTTAAAGTCACCGTAGGAACGCAGACGGGCTCGGAACCGCCGGATTCCACCTTTGCCAACGACAAGGTCACCGTCGATCCGCACTGCTATGAATGCAAAGTCAAGTACAGGGACCCGAAGCCATCGGATCTGGTGATGTATCTGCACGCGTGGCGTTACTGCGGCCCGGGATGGGAGTACGAGACGCCGCTGCCCGCGTGGGCGGCGAGTGATTGGGCCGGTGACGATCGATAGTTCGTACGACGAGATCGAGGATGATCGTGTCGTCGATCACCATCGTCGTCGTCGAGTCTCGAATCCCCTTTTGAGATATCCTTACCCCGTGCCTTCCATCCGCCAACGAGCGATCTTTTGACCATTGTACACGTACAAATACACGAATACATAAACACTTACGCACACATACACACACAAAACATACGCATACATGCGATGAACAAAAGTGCATACCCCTGTAACTCGGCCGTCAGATTTCTCGAGGCTGCGATCCGAGAGAAATGGGATTGCTGGAACAATCTCGTCGCTCGATTTGCATTTCTGCGATTTCTCGCCCTCGATATGTAAATGACAACTTGGCGTGTTATTGTGACGTATCTGGGAGAGCGGAAACAATTTCGAGGTGCCGCCGTTCGCGCGCAGAAATGTATGTTCGATTTTAGTTTGTGCGCGTTCTCATTTCGTCATACGTTCTGGCAGAGTCCCCGTCGGGCACGAAAATCCCACATGCGAACGAATCTTATGCGGGAAACGATCCGAGACGACGTTATAATATTATGGCATTAATTATAGCGACAAAAGACATCGTTGTATATCGGCCCTATTACCCTGATACTGTCCTGATTTTGCGAGCCAAATAATAAATCAGAGCATCATTATTGTTATTTTAATTCTGTATCGTGGCGTGTTTCGGATTTTACAATCATATTTTTCTTGCGTAAACGAACATGAGACGCGTTATATCTACAAATGCAGCGCAAAGTCACGCCGACCAGCGAAATGTAATAAAGCGCAACGATTGTTCCTAGGATCGTTTCTCTCTGTAACAGTTTTTGAAGAAGACCTTTGCACGGTCAATCGATCAGATGTTTACAAGTCGCAGGACTTCGTTGTAATTTACGGAAGTAAGGGCGTTCTAGTAATCTTTTTTTTTTTATCAGAGATATATTCGCGCAGAAATGTATGTTCGATTTTAGTTTGTGCGCGTTCTCATTTCGTCATACGTTCTGGCAGAGTCCCCGTCGGGCACGAAAATCCCACATGCGAACGAATCTTATGCGGGAAACGATCCGAGACGACGTTATAATATTATGGCATTAATTATAGCGACAAAAGACATCGTTGTATATCGGCCCTATTACCCTGATACTGTCCTGATTTTGCGAGCCAAATAATAAATCAGAGCATCATTATTGTTATTTTAATTCTGTATCGTGGCGTGTTTCGGATTTTACAATCATATTTTTCTTGCGTAAACGAACATGAGACGCGTTATATCTACAAATGCAGCGCAAAGTCACGCCGACCAGCGAAATGTAATAAAGCGCAACGATTGTTCCTAGGATCGTTTCTCTCTGTAACAGTTTTTGAAGAAGACCTTTGCACGGTCAATCGATCAGATGTTTACAAGTCGCAGGACTTCGTTGTAATTTACGGAAGTAAGGGCGTTCTAGTAATCTTTTTTTTTTTTATCAGAGATATATTGTAATGAATATAGATGATCTGTGATTATATTAATGCGATATTTATCGACCAAAACGTTTTAACGATTGACACGGTTGCGAGGCGATAAAGGCAAAAAATAATTTTCTTTTAATTTTTAATACAGTGGAAAAATATAAATAATTGATTAATCCTTCACATTTAATTATAATCCGGATGCAGTTCGCGTAAGCGCATCTCTATATAGTGTATCGCGCACATATATAAATCGTATATAAAAATTATTTATGCGGACGCTCTATAAGCAGACTGAGAAAAATGTATGTTCTCTAAAAACGCGAGTCTCAGCCACTTTTATGTGCGGCGGCGATCAAAAAGTCACTGCCACTGGAGCGCGAGACATCCCTAACGCGTGACAGAAGATTGATGCATCTGTCGGAGTGGCATGGTGGATTCCGATGGATCGTATCGTTCGTCTTGATTTATGACGTACAGAAACATAGAAAGGCTCGCGATCTCCTCTTCTATTTTCTATAGCGACGAGAGTCGCTCGGCTTGCGCGCAACTATTACTCTCCGATCTTGTGGGACATTTTGATTCACGAGAGATATCGCTCGATCCATTTCTCAAAATTCCGTGCTCTTTGCAGAAGCGCAACGTCGTCTTATCATCCAAAAATAGACGACAGCGCGGAGAAAAAGTATTTGACATGTTTCGCTAGCGCTCGGTCGCGCGCGGGCGACGTTCCCGAGAGAGGGACGTACTCGGGTAAAGTGATCATCGTCGGCTCCGGATTTGACCTCGAGATTGACTTCGGAACGGAACCGAAGTGAACCGGTGATATCGGTTATATTCGCGGCAGCCGCTGTTGCTTTTGGCATCGAATCACTTCGGCACTTTAGTCTGACAGAAGTCAGCTAACTTGGCGATAAATTTATCTTCGCGCTTCGACGACTCGTTCCTGGAACAATTTCAACGAAGCCCTGCGATTTCCGCGTACTATCATATATATTTTAGTGATATATCGCGCTAATATACTTGTTGCGTGAGAAAGCGAGATTCCGTAGTAAATGTCGTGGATCGAGAAGACGAGTGAAAATAAATAACGTCGGTATCAATCGTGCATTAATGTTATTAGAGAAATTCTCCGATGCGATATCGCGATCGTCAGTTTCTTCCTATCGCCTCAAGCTCGTCCGAATTTCGAAGGATGTCACGTCGCACGAGCAAGGTCGTATTCTCGAAACCGTAATGATACGCATCGCGCAAGCAATTAGCATCGTTTCCTATTTACTTACACTCATCGACGATGAGAGACCCGCGTTTCCCAGTTGAGGAACAATAGCCCGATTCCCATTCCCATGTGATGCGAACGTTTTCGCATGGTTTCGAGAATAGAAAACGGGACGACTGCGACCGTGGCGGAGAAGGAGATGGAATTGTATCCTCCTCCTGTGTAAAGCGCAGGTAGGTAGGGGACTGACATATGGTAACCGCGATAGAGAGGCGCGCGTCTATTTTTATGGCAGATATACGTATTAACGCGAAACTGGATGCGTAGTGGCGCGAGTCCAGCGCGGCAGAGGTCTCCAACAATATAAACGTGATCTTGCCGAAAGACAGCCAATGATCATGCCAAAGAGCGAGCGACCAGCGAGCTTTTAATCATATCGTGCATAATGTACCTAACGAGGCCTCTACAAGAGAGCCTTCTCGAGAAGAAGAAAGAAAAGCGCGGCCTGTCCGCGCGGTCGGTGGAGGGGGCGGAAAGAAGACAAAACGTTTCGCAACAAGTACAATCCAAAAACGAGTGAAATGCGAGAGTGTTATAATTTTATTTTATTATTATAAGCCACGTTCTCGATTGATACCGATATATATTTGAATATATATACAGTGTACTTCGGAACGAAATCGATCAATTTTTCCAACGTATTCGGCAGATTATTCTAAGCAGAAAAATTTGTATACTATGGATCGATTTGGTTTCATTATCGAGACATCGGAAGTTTAATAAGCTAAAGTTACATATATCATAAATAATATATAATCAAACTTAATAATTCACCTGTAATTTCTCTTTAATGTAATCAATTTTATGCTATATTGTACATTACATTCTTTGTTTAAAATGATCTCTCGAATACGCTGACAAAATTAATCAGTTTCGGAACACTCTGTATATGTATCTATATGTATAGAGAGAGATGATGTAACAACGGACCTATCATAAAAGACAGTGTGTGCGCTTACTAACTCGACCAGGATAGTTCGCCGAAACGGGCGGGCTACCCCGAAAAATGTAACGGCTAGCTTAAATTTTATTATTTAAGTAACTAACGATATAATTCGAGAAAAAAAAATCGCGAAAAAGACAGTTCCGATTTTAGCGGCGCTAAGGAGCGAAAGAGCGAGAGAAAGAATAGACAGATAATATCTGTTGAACGAATGAGAGTGCTTTTGTATATAAGTATTGTATACGCACATTGTACCGTATCTTTAAAGCCACATTAATTATCCGTACTGTAGTCGGCGGAAACGTTAGCGTTAGCGAATTCTCTTGTATGATGAACGAATAAATGCAAAGTATCGTTCGATAAGAAATGGTGGTGGCGAATATTTTTATCAGACAGCCACGAATGTTCTTACGTTTCGCTCCGAATTTTCCCGTAAGTAACGAGCGGATCGTATGCATGATTCATGAAGGAGAAGAGGCGGTTCTCCCTGTCCTTCATTCCGAATGCGCGTTTCCGTGGCAAAAATATTTTCCGTTCAATATAGCAGTATCATTTGTCTCATCGTTACCTGCATAATATACCGCCAGTGCCGTTACTGTAATTCGTGTAGCTTCGAGCATTCGTAACGCGATGTAACATAATTCCCGCGAAGACTGCGTAAAACGGGCGAAGTATGTACGCTGTTTGCATGGGAGAGCGCAAATGTTAGAATATAAATGTTAGTGTTAGGGTTCTAAGTAAATTCGACCGATATATTTGAAGATAATTCGAATTTTTGTTGTATCTTGCGCATACGATATCCAACGTTTCTCTCTCTGATATCATATATTTTTCTAGAAGTCTAACATCAGCCTGTTGTCTCGCTATTTCATTTCAGGGATCATTATTGAAGAAGAAGTGGATTGCTCGTGTGATTCACATAGGATTCAATTCCTTAATGTCTACTATTAAACCAATCCTGATGTATTACATCAATTTCCTTCGCGCTAAAGCGTCCGAGATAAGATATCACACGAATTTTGACCCGAAACACATCGCTTCGCCGACTTTATTCTCCTTCGTGAATGCGTTACGAGCTTCTTGGCCTAATTTGCGATCTTTCTAAGGGAAAAGAATATCTACTTGCGATCTACATATGTATATGTATGTATATATATATATATAAATCTGAGACCGACGAGATCATCGAGGTTTTCGTCGGAGATAGGGGAAAAGGACGTGAAGTGATTATTAAGCAGAATATGATTTTAAAAAATCGATCGCAATCTGAGCGAATTTCAATGAAGGAGAACGCCGATGCAACTCGTCGGTCAACGGTCGAATCTCTGCTGCGTGTTGTACATACTAAATACATATATAAATATAAAGATGTATATATATATATATATAAATATATAAATTTTTTCTCTTATGTTTCTTTTATTAATCGAACCATCGAGGCGATCGACCAGCCCGGGTTCGAAAGACATCGTTACATGGGAATCGTGACTATCGCATGTAAATTCATTTATATACACTGAAAATAAATATATGAAATCTTACCGGGATTACTCTAAGTATTTTTTTTCTCTATTATATTTTAATCTCCGGTTCCTATCTTGTTCTTCAATTGGACGCAGCACACTTCTGTTCCTTTAAACGCGCCTCGATCTCTGGCCTGAAGTGTCTGATCAAACCTTGTACGGGCCACGCGGCGCCGTCCGCCAGAGCGCAGATTGTGTGCAGTTCTATTTGTTTCGTGAGCTCCCATAGCATGTCTATCTCGTGCACCTCGGCGTTACCTTCCACGAACCTAAGAGAAAAAAGATTGTATGTTTGTATAATCAAATCTGGATAACAATTTTGCGCGAATTAACAATTATAAATGCATTCTTACCTTTTTAGTATTTTAAACATCCAACTAATACCTTCGCGACAAGGCGTACATTGACCGCACGATTCGTGCTTGTAGAAACTTATCAAACGGGTGATAGCTTTGATTACGTCCGTCTGCTTATTCATTACGATTAGCGCGGCCGTGCCGAATGAGCTTTGTACCCTGATGAGATCATCAAAATCCAGCAACACGTTGTCACATGCACTGAAAAAACATCTCGATCGTGATTTTTGAAGCATTGATCGCCAGATAAGCCGAACGTTTACCTCTTAGGAATGACGGGAGTCGAAGAGCCTCCAGGAATGACACCTAGTAAATTATCCCATCCCCCGATTACGCCTCCTGCGTGCCTGTCAATGAGCTCCCTCAGAGGGATGGACATTTCCTCCTCGACAGTACAGGGATTGTTTACGTGTCCGGAGATGTTGAAGAGTTTAGTTCCGTGATTGCGTGGACGTCCAAACGAAGCAAACCACGTTCCACCTCGGCGACAAATTGTCTGTTATAAATAAATAATATAACAAAGATAAGAATACGTAATATAGAAGAGAAAATTACAAAAAGAATCTGTGTATCAATACGTAATGCATACAGGCGCCACTGCTACAGTTTCGACATTAGTGACAGTCGTGGGGCATCCAAATACACCGACATCAGCTGGGAACGGTGGTTTTAGTCTTGGTTTGCCCTGCTTCCCCTCGATGGATTCGATAAGAGCGGTCTCCTCGCCGCAAATGTACGCGCCCGCTCCTCGCAGCACAAATACATCGAAATCGTATCCCGAGTTGCAGGCATTCTTCCCGATTAAACCAGCCTGATACGCCTCAGTTATGGCGACTTGCATATTGGACGCCTCGTTGTAAAATTCACCGCGTATGTAAATGTAAGCGGCACAGGCACCCATAGCACGACCGGCAATCAAGCAGCCTTCCACGAGCTTGTGTGGATCGTGACGTAGAATCTCACGATCCTTACATGTTCCCGGTTCACCCTCGTCGCCGTTGATCACCAGATACTTGGGTCTACCATCCGACGGTTTATTCATGAAAGACCACTTCATCCCGGAAGGAAAACCGGCCCCACCGCGGCCTCTCAGACCGGAAACCTTGATCTCATTGATGATCCAATCGGCACCTTTATCCAGTATCTCCTTGGTCTTGTACCAGTCGCCCCGGCTCAAGGCACCCTTCAGCCGCCAGTCATGCCTGCCATACAGATTTGTAAAGATGCGATCCTGATCGGACAGGGGCGATCCCTGTTTCTGTAAAAGAAGAAAAAAAAATGCTGATAAGACGGATACTGACATTTAGCGCAGTTTCATGCATTTTAACTGCATGAAACTTTCTATGATTAAAATAAAATAATCATATATATTGAAACTATAGAGCAAGAAAGATGAAAGATGCAAAATGCAATTAAAGCAAAATAGTTTAATGTTGAAAAAGAGTCACCTTTCCTTCCGGAGCGGCATCGGCGAGCGTTCTCTGCTGCTGATTGCTCAAACTAGATCCGAGGAGACCTTTAAATAGTGCAAACTTATTTAATTACATAACCTCGCAACTCGTAAAATATGTCACGGCAGATCAAAGTGCCGTTTTCGAACATATACGGGGAAACATACGTTTATTGTTTCATCGCCGGCATTATCGGCGGTTGCTGACAATACGCGTACTTTGCTGACAAACGAATGCTCGAAACTCACCCAATTGTCTCCTCGAAATCTGCAAACAACGCACTATGGCACCTGCCATTTTGCTACCATCTTGCAGAGTACAAATCTGTTCGGCGACAGTGCCAGCTGATTGATTGTGAAATACCCCGGCCGTTTACTCGATCGGCAACGCGGTAGTATCGATCATCGATATTTTTATTGAATGCAATAAAATGTGGAATGACTCTTGTTACAACTCTCATTGTCAATTGTGGTTTCGAGTAGTTTGACATTTTTAAATGCCCTTTTAACATTTTTAAATGCCCTCTCTGTATCATAATAAGTATTATGTATGTATCTTTTTCTTGCGATTTTTTTACTTCTCTCTCATGCATTTTCCTATAATCATCTTCTTCCTTCCTTTTTCTCTGTAAATTCCGAAAATAACGGATATTTTATTTTATTTCCAGAAAGCATAACGGAATGCAATTAGAAGGAATATCTCCGGTACGTGGCTATACACGTGTACAGGAATATAATAGTGGCGAAATCTGTTTACGGAAAAGTCAACTATGTGTACCTCGCTGTTTTGTCGCACAATCTTACGTGTTGTCACTCGACGAGTGCACGTCGGACTGTGTACCGTCGTGGCTTGTCAGCAATCGTCCCGTACGAGACGATGGTACGCGGACGTGATACGTGCAGGTGCGATCTCGGACGGTGCTGATTCCTCCCTCCCCTTCCCCCTTGGGTTCTATCGTCCTCGGTGAGGACGAAACGCGTCAAATATTAATTGAATGACGAGAATCGAGAATCTGTAGCATCATGCCTTCTAGAACGAGCAAAGGCGGCCTTCTGGCCAGGGTGAATTTTCCCCTCTATACCGTGCAAATGGTAACCAACAGACACATTCTGGTGGGAGGCGGAGGCGGTTCCTCCAAGACCGGAGTTGCTAATGGATTTGTGAGTTTACAGATTTTTTAACAAGTTGCATTTATGTTAAAATGATTGATTGATAACTTGGACCTGAATAGGTCATTGTTATGTAATTTTTTTAATACATTGACAAGATGTTCTTGATAACAATGTTATCAGAATCTTGATAAATGTCAAATGTGAAATTCATATTGATTATGAATGCTTGTGTTGTAGGAAATTTTTGAATTGTCACACAATGGAACACACTTTGTTGCCGAAGAAGTAACCAGGCACGAAACGGGTCCCAGTGTCGTCATGAATTGTGCTTCGCACAGGAGTGACAATAAGACATGGATTGTTGCTGGTCAGGAGAGTCACTGTCAACTGTATAATGTAAAATTTAAGTTGATAACTTTGGAGAATGGAGAATTGATCAAAGCGCCTACAGTACATAAGGATGATCTTAGACACAGAAGAAACAGTGAAAAAGTTGAGGAATCTCAATCGCAAAAGGAGAAGATAGAAGAAATCAAAGACAACAATTCGAATGTCAAAAGCAAGAAATTGCAGATGATCCTTGAACCTGCTGACAGCGTACTAACAACTTTTGGGTAAAATATTTTTTTTGCATTTATTACATTAAGTAATTACAAGAACTGATTTATAACAAGAATTTTTTTACTTACAGGGATGGTGAACCTTTACAGAGAGTTGTCAGAGTGAACATTCAAGGGAAAAGTATGGCTACAGGTGGCACAGACGGTACAGTTAGATTATGGAAATTTCCACAACTAGACAAATTATACGATCTTGGCACACATGGGAAGGAAATAGATGATATAGATTTCAGTCCTAATGACAACCTGCTGGTGAGCATTGCCAAGGATGGAAAAGCCTTTGTGTGGAATATAGAGAGCAGAGAGAGCAGAGAGCTCAGTTGGGAGCCACCGGACAGTATCAAGTACATGTACAAAAGATGTCGATTCAGGAAATTGATAGAGCACGAGAAGAAGAATGATCTATTTATGCTCACTAATGCCGTAGCGGCGAAGAATCCTAGTTTCCTTCAATTGTGGGACACTAATACTGGTGTAATAACCAAATCTGCTCCATACAAGGAGGCGCTGTCCGCTCTGGCTGTTTCTGACGACGGTAAATTCGTGGCCGTCGGCACGATGTTCTCGGGCAGCGTTGACATATTCGTGGCATTTAGCTTGAGAAAGGCGCTTCACGTTCCTGGAGCGCACAGCATGTTTGTGACTGGTCTAGAATTCCTTCCAACGAACGATCAACTGAACGGCGTCGCGATCACCAATAACACGGAGACTGCGGTCGTCAGTATCTCCGTGGACAACAGGATCTGTATACATAGCATACCATTCAGACGTAAGTATATCAGCAAAGAAATTGTCTATTGATGTTATCTTTAAAAACATGTGTTTATGATAAGTAATGATCTTCTTCTCTTATATCAGATACACTGCCATTTTGGTTCGTTATCATGCTGATAATCTTATGGATGTGCTGCGCATTCATCTTCTGCAGCTATCTCGGTATATGACCTACGAAATGCGTGACTAAAACAATGAAACAGGATGTCATTTTCTTCTAATCATCATTTTAGATCGATTATTGTTCGCGCGTATAAAAGATTAAAAATAAATAAAAGCTCGAAATTTAACGCACGATTTATTCGTACGAATACATAAAACGGTGAGTGCTCAAAAATCTTACGTACACAAACGAAATGTAGAAATAAAAACAGATGTACGACGATATTTTGTCCATAAGATATAATTAACTGACGAAACACACCGAGTGCACTATAACTATGGATACGCAGAGCATTAGAATAGGAATATTATCGGATCGTTAAGCAATCAGAATTGGCGTTCAATTAATGAACAATAGTTTTATTTGTCATTGCACACAAGATAGATCTTCAGGAAGCATGTGGTGCAATTTATATATAGACGTGACGTCAGTCGAAGTGCTACTGTGATAAATAAATTACATTAGAGTGCTTATAACAGATTGGAGCCGCACTAATTAGCACATTGATGTACATATAGATTACATTTTATCAATTTTTAATTGTGCAAAGGCAAGGATTTATATAAATAATATGTCGCGTCGCGATTGTCTCTTTTTCGTACATGTACATTTAAACAGTTTTATTTATATGTATATTATTATATAATTCAAGATTTCTTCACGTTTCATGTACTTGCTACGTGATTGACCAACTCGTTTCTCTCTTTTGTATCATGGATGGAGATATAATATAATATGTATTTATATATCAATGATTCTATATTCTTTCCTAATTATTTGTTATATCTTCTGAGTAAAATACATGACATGTTAAAAAAGGTATTTGTATCGCTCGACGCTAACGAGACAGTTAAGGAACCTGTTATTCTGTGCAGAGAATAACATTCTGCATTGGCATTTGGCATATGCATACCTTAACGTTGGAATTTGCTGTTTCTATTTCTATCGTTATCACTATCGCAAGGGCCTTGACAGAATGCAATTAGAAGGAATATCTCCGGTGCGTGGCTACACGTGTAGTAAAGGAATACTATAGTGGCGAAATCTGTTTATGGAAAAGTCAACTATATGTGTACCTCGCTGTTTTGTCGCGCAATCTTACGTGTTGTCAGTTGTCACTTGATGAGTGCACGCGAACTGCATGCCGTCGTGGCTTGTTCGCTTGTTAGCCATCGTCTCGTACGAGACGATGGTAGTACGAGGACGTGATACGTGCAGGTGCGATCCCGGACGGTGCTGATTCCTCCCTCCCCTTCCCCCTTGGGTTCTATCGTCCTCGGTGAGGACGAAACGCGTCAAATATTAATTGAATGACGAGAATCGAGAATCTGTAGCATCATGCCTTCTAGAAGGAGCAAAGGCGGCCTTCTGGCCAGGGTGAATTTTCCCCTGTATACCGTGCAAATGGTAACCGACAAGTACATTCTGGTGGGAGGCGGAGGCGGTTCCTCCAAGACCGGAGTTGCTAATGGATTTGTAAGTTTAACAGATTTTTTAACAAGTCGCATTTATGTTAAAATAGTTGATTGATAACTTGGATCTAAATAGGTCATTACGTTATGTAATTTTTTAAATACATTTTGACAAGATGTTCTTGATAACAATGTTATCAGAATCTTGATAAATGTCAAATGTGAAATTCATATTGATTATGAATGCTTGTGTTGTAGGAAATTTTTGAATTGTCACATAATGGAACACATTGTATTGCCGAAGAAGTAACCAGGCACGAAACGGGTCCCAGTGTATTTGCTAATGGATTTGTAAGTTTAACAGATTTTTTAACAAGTCGCATTTATGTTAAAACAGTTGATTGATAACTTGGACCTAAATAGGTCATTATGTTATGTAATTTTTTTAATACATTGACAAGATGTTCTTGATAACAATGTTATCAGAATCTTGATAAATATCAAATGTGGAATTCATATTGATTATGAATGCTTGTGTTGTAGGAAATTTTTGAATTGTCACACAATGGAACACACTTTGTTGCCGAAGAAGTAACCAGGCACGAAACGGGTCCCAGTGTCGTCATGAATTGTGCTTCGCACAGGAGTGACAATAAGACATGGATTGTTGCTGGTCAGGAGAGTCACTGTCAACTGTATAATGTAAAATTTAAGTTGATAACTTTGGAGAATGGAGAATTGATCAAAGCGCCTACAGTACATAAGGATGATCTTAGACACAGAAGAAACAGTGAAAAAGTTGAGGAATCTCAATCGCAAAGGGAGAAGATAGAGGAAATCAAAGACAACAATTCCAATGTTGAAAGCAAGAAATCGCAGTTGATCCTTGAACCTGCTGGCAGCATTCAGACAACTTTCGGGTAAAATATTTTTTTGCATTTATTACATTAAGGAGTATTACAAGAACTGATTTATAACGAGAATCTTTTTGCTTACAGAGATGGTGAACCTTTGCAGAGAGTTGTCAGAGTGAGCATTCAAGGGAAGTGTATGGCTACAGGTGGCACAGATGGTACAGTTAGATTATGGAAATTTCCACAACTAGACAAATTATACGATCTTGGCACACATGGGAAGGAAATAGATGATATAGATTTCAGTCCTAATGGTAACCTATTGGTGAGCATTGCTAAGGACGGAAAGGCCTTTGTGTGGAATATAGAGAGCAGAGAGAGCAGAGAGCTCAGTTGGAAGCCGCCGGACGGTGTCAAGTACATGTACAAAAGATGTAGATTCAGGAAATTGATAAAGGACGAAGACGAGGAGAAGAATGATCTATTTATGCTCACTAATGCCGTAGCAGCGAAGAATCCTAGTTTCCTTCAATTATGGGACGCTAATACTGGTGTAATAATCAAGTCTGCTCTCTACAAGGAGGCGCTATCCGCTCTGGCTGTTTCTAACGATGGTAAATTCGTGGCCGTCGGCACGATGTTCTCGGGCAGCGTCGACATATTCATGGCGTTTAGCTTGAGAAAGGCGCTTCACGTTCCTGGAGCGCACAGCATGTTTGTGACTGGTCTAGAATTCCTTTCAATGAACAGCGTCGCAATTACCACTAACACAGAGACCGCGGTCGTCAGTATCTCCGTGGACAACAGGATCTGTATGCACAGCATACCATTTAGACACAAGTATATCAAGGGAGTATATCAGCGTAAGTATATCAAGGAAATTGTCTATTAATGTTATCTTTAAAAACATGTGTTTATGAAAAATAACGATCTTCTTCTCTTATATGTCAGATAAACTTTGGATCGTCATGCTGATAATCTTATGCATATGCGGTATGTTCTATCTCGGTATATGACCTACGAAATGCGCGACCAAAACGATGAAGCAAGATGTCATTTTCTTCTAATCATCATTTTAGATCGATTATTGTTCGCGCGTATAAAAGATTAAAAATAAATAAAAGCCCGAAATTTAACGCACGATTCATTCGTACGAGTACGTAAAACGGTGAGTGCTAAAAAATTTTACGTATACAAACGAAATACAAAAATAAAAACAGATGTACGACGGCATTTTGTCCATACGATATCATTAATTGACGAAACACACCGAATGCATTGTGGATACGCAGAGCATTAGAATAGGAATATTCTCGGATGGTTGAGCAATCAGGATTGGCGTTCAATTACTGAACAATAATTGTATTCGTCATTGTACAGAAGATAGATCTTCAGGAAGCTCGTCGCGCGATTTAGATATAGACGTGACGTCAGTCGAGGTGCTACTGTGATAAATAAATTACAATAGAGAATAGAGCTTATAACAGATTGGAGCCGCACTGATTAGCACATTGATGTACATATAGATTACATTTTATCAATTTTTAATTGCGCCAAGGCAAGGATTTATATAAATAGTGCGTCGCGTCGCGATTGTCTCTTTTTCGTACATGTACATATAAACAGCTTTATTTATATGTATATTATTATATAATTCAAGATTTCTTCACGTTTCGCGTATTTGCTACGTGAATGACCGATTTCTTTTCTCTCTTTTATATCACGGATGGAGACATAATATGTATTTATATATCACTAATTCTATATTCTTTCCTAGGTACTTGATTGTATTTTCTCTATAAAATACATGACATATGTTAAAAAAAGGTAGTTGTATCGCTCGATGCTAATATGAGACAGTTAAGGAATCTATCAGAGTTCTGCTCCGAATGACCATCTTGGCTGCGTCGGCTGAAGTCGAAAATAATTTTAGATATCAGAATTGACATTTTATATGATTCATCTTATACTCACTTATACTCAGGAATAATAAATAATTTGGTGAAAGCTTAATTCAATGAATAAATAACCCAGGATAAAGGAAGGGAGAAGAAATAGAGTGTAACAGCCGTTTATTTTTTCTACGCGTACGGTTTTTATTCGGAAATACTTTTAGATTACTAAAAATTACTTAGATTTTCGCGCGTCGCTTAAATTCTAAGGAGTACATGTTCAAGGAGTGGCACGAGATGGTGTATATTTATTTTTTATTTTTCGCTCTATTAGAGCCACGAGAGTCTATTGTCATTCCGCATACACGCGCTTCTAAAAAAACAACGAGGACTTGAATCGGCAAGAGGGAGGAGGAGGAGAGAGAGAGAGAGAGCAGAAAGAATCCGTTATGGTTATTTACAAGTGGAATGTTTCCATGGGTCGTTTCGCCCTCGTCGTCGAGCGTCGCGATCCTCGCGAGAGGCGTCGACGCGTCGTTCACGAACGGGCTCGCGTTTCATGGCTGCGGAGAAAAGAGACGAGCACAAGACCTGCTTTTTCCTCTTTCGCAAGTCTCATCGGCGATCGTGCACAAGAGATCGATACGCGACGTATCCTCGCGATTGCATCGCGACTTTTCCTTTCCTTCTTATTCAGCGCGATTCTAATTTACATAAATAATAATAATAGTCGAGACTGTCGCGGACTCGGAGAAACCGGGCGGGGACGCGTTTTCGAGAGTAGAATGTGCCTCGCTCTACTTTACGTATTCGTTTAACGATTCTATATTCGACCAAGGTGACGCTTTCTAATGGCGATAAAATGATTCCGTGATCTCGCTTCGAGAATTGTCACGCCCGTTGTCGCGATTGCTCTTTTCTTCCGTCTTCTTCCTAGAGTCACGCTCTCAATCGTCCCGGCTAATCACAGACGATCGGCGGCGCGCGATATCAGCGTTATCACGTTGATATGATTAATCGACGGTCATCTCCGAGCGATCTATTTAAAGATCGGATCGCGCGACCGGCGTCGCTCGTCTCGCGGATGATGGATCACTTCCTCGCGGAGAAGCCGTCGCCGGTTGGGTCCAGCAACCACGGATAGTTGTTGGGACACTCCATGCAAGTGAAGAGACGCAGGGTTTCGCCGGGCAGCTCTCTAGTCGTCAGAGGACAAGCATTGGGCAGCGAGCAATAGGGTAGACCCTTCTCATCGCAAGTCTCCTTCCAATCCTGGAAGTCTCTGAGCGCGGAGAGTTCAGTGGGCTGCTGCATCCACTTGATCACCTGGCGGAAGGACAAATAAAATATAGAAAAACCTGTTTTACATGAAGACATTAACAGCGAAGCGAATCGATCATTCTCTCACCTGGACCATGGTGACGAAGTACACGTCGCTTCTGGCGATCATCTCTTCAATGAACTTGATCAGCTCATCCTTGTATTCCTTCTTGCTCTTTAGCCAGGACGCGTGGAAGTTCAGACCAAGCGGTGCCCGGTTAGTGTTGAAATGTCTGTTGAAGTTATGCCTGAGTAGACGGGCAAACTGTTCGCCGCTCTGTATGTTGGAGCATGAGTCGACCATATGACAACCTGGCAGCGACTCGTCGAAGGTCGGATCATCTCTGCGATCCAGCTCGTTCATCACCATCTCCCAGACCGGATGCGACCTCGACGGACAGTTGCCGCCGTTACCGTTACACTTGTGAGGCATTCTGAAGTATAGAGTGTACGGCCAGATGGGCACACGTCCCAAGGACGCAGTGATGGACGCGTCGTACACGAAGAACTGATCGGCCATCATCTCGAACTGTTTGTTACCGCCGACCCTGAGGTAAGGAGCGCGCATACCAATGATGGAGCCGTCGGTGATGTTGGCGAAACGCTCGATGATCAACCTGGCGCCGGCCATCTCGGCCAGCCAGTCATCGTACGACCCCTGACTCCAGTACTGCGGATCCTCCTTATGCGTCAACGAGAACACGGCGATCTCGTGACCGCGTCGGTGAAGATCCTGCACGGCCGAATAATTGGTGTACTTGTGCGAGACGAAGAAGGTACCGCGGATCTGGCAGCCGTTCGGGTTTTGACGTTGTCCGTTGAAGATCTCTTCGTACAGATCGATGTTGTCGACGTTTACGGCGCCGTTGAATGTGATCGTGATCATTTGCGGCACTTGTTGAGGATCGATGTTACCGGGGATGCGAGTACCGTCGGCGGAACAGTAACAGTCGGGCAGGACGCATTGCGTGGGATCGCAATCTGGAGCGCGATTAGGATCGGTCTCCACGGCTGTAATGCAGGTTTATTTAATAACGCGTTTTTCAATTTAATTATTATTTAAAAAAGTTAGCATTATTTTTATTTAATAAAAGTTTCCCTCTCTCCTTCCCTTGATTTTTCGTCGCTAATATTAAAGTGAGAAAAGCATTGATATATCTGAAAAGTTAATAGCAATTTTCACAATAGATGAAACATATCAAATATATGCATGTACGCTAAAAGATGCCATTTTAACGCATCTTTAATAAAAAAATATTATCTGGATTGATTGAGCTTCAATGATCGTGAGTAAATTTAAAAATAAAGAGAAATGGATTTTCAAGCTGGGTAAAGATCGTCGAAAAATCGATTCATACATTAATGAATAAAAATCTGCTTTTAAATACAATAAACACACTGCCTTTCTGTAAAAATTGCTATAAACTTATCAATAAATCTACTCCGATTTACTATGACAATTACGCTCGACGCGTTTTATATGATTCAATTATAAATGAAATCGACTCGTCATTACGATCGTATTATGGGACGAACATAATTGCGACACTTACTGCAGGCGTTCTCGTCGGACTCGTCCTTGCAATCGGGCGTGCCGTTGCAGAAAAGATCCTTCTCGATACACTCGCCGTTTCCACACGACAGTTTTCCGTCCGAGCAAATGGGTTCGTCGGTCTTGAGGATGGGCAAGACTTTACGCGGCTCTGTAAGAAACGCAATTATCCTTTAGATCCCTTTCATTTACAAATTAGCTACCGTTTGAGCAACGCAACGTTTAGAAATTCATCAAATATCAATAGGATGACCAATAAAACGTCTGGTGCGACAAAGCGTCCATTGTATTTTCAAATCGATGATTAACGCGATTTAATCACATATCATCAAAGTCATTATCGTCAAATTTCATCGAAGCGCAATCTTCTTTATCAAAGATCGCTTAATTAATTTTAATAGACGTCGTTAATTATACTGAGATAAGTTTTGTAAGAGACGTTTTCGTGGCCAGCTATCGAATATTAATATGAATTCTTGTCGCAATCGGTGCTCTGTACAATTCACGCAAACAGCCAGGGGTGTGATTGAGGCAATCAAGATTTCGTAATAGACACTTTACGCCCAGCTACTGCGCGAGATTGGATCTCATTGGTGGCTGTGTCGGTGTTCTATATAATTCAGGTGATTCAGCTGCAGGTGTAATCAAGGCCCGAACGCCATTATCTCCCGTTTATTTACACGCAGCAGCGTAGGAATCGTGCGTGCGTAGATACTTAAAGGGTATTGTAATAAACTCAAAATATGCATGTATAACACACTGTTAAATCGGAGGGATCGTGCTGAATTAATTCGTGCCACCCAATTCCCGCAGCCTACTTCAGCAAACAATGCCATACATTAAATCTCTACTATGTGTATATTTTCAATAGATATAGTGACGGAATATATATACAGGTAGTTCAAGAGGAGATCTCGAGCTCTCGCGGTTCTTCTCGCAAAAGGGAAAAGAAACGTTTTGACGAACGCGTTCCTACGCCACTGCTTCTCGAGATGGCTTTTTCCCGTTGATCCTCCATCGGAATGGCTTTCGTCTCGTCTCGCGTTTGTCGTCCCTTTCGTTTACTTTTGTTCTTAGTCTTTTTTTCTTTTTTTTTTTTTTTTTTTTTTTTTTTTTTTTTTACACTTGTCTACATTTCGTCGGTCCGTCAACGAGTAACAGCTTTTCGTTCAACTGTCCACGAAGAATGTATGTATATGTACGTCTGGTTCTCTATGTAACTTCCCTCTATTGCAGAGAAACTATTTGTCTTTCGCTCGACGAGCGACTCGAAGATAAACTTTGTCTCGGCGTTTATCTGCCTTTTCGACTGGCAGCGATGCACGCAAGTCGTTATTCGTGTATATGAAAAAGACGTAGCGAGAAAGAAAAATGGAGAGAGAAAGAGAAAGTATGATTAAAAAAATGAATTTTAAAATGTTTGTGCGAGAGAAACGGAGAAGAGCGAGAATGTTGGAAGATGAAATTAGAATGTGAAGCAGCATGAGAAGTACAAAAGGAGAAATGGCTATATATAACGGATATCGATTGACGCGACTTTAAGAATCGATCGACGCGAAAAATAATCGTCCTATATAATTGCATTTCATATCTTTCTTTTCAAGAAATAAGCATCTTTTGCTTTCGGCAATATTTGCGACAATGCATCGTTTTCGGGATATCTCATTCTTTAATACGCCAATATAATGCATTTACTGTCTCTTGATTCTTCGTATAAATAGTTTTTCGTTTAAAAATTCCGTTATAATTATATTTAATATTTATGTTTTTATAAAAGAAAATACTTAAAAAAATAAAATTAATAAAAATAAAATGTCAACTGTTTTATATTACATAAATGTAAATATTAAAATTAATTATAACAGAATTACTAAAATTTGTACAAAGAATTATTTGCACAAAGAATCAAAAAACAGCAAATGCATTAGTTTATTAAAAAATGAAATATCTCGAGAACAATGCATTTCTGGAAATTTTGTTTTCAAAGAAAGAAGGTATATTTATTTTTTTGACAAGAAATACGATAGTACTGATTTATACCCTTATACAGGACATCTTGTATAAATATGTATCAAGAGTTCAATTTTTTTTTTTATCGTTTAGACATTAATGACTCTCTTATGTATGTATATATATTCTTAGTTTGAGCGCTACCGCTTTTAATTCGAGAGAAAGCGTTCGACGCCCTGCGTGCCGATCGCAGCTGCGACAGATTGTGAAAGGGACGCGAAAGAGTCTCTCGAA